CCTAGCCACCGCAGCGTTCGACGTCTCATGCCTCGAGTGTCCTGGCTGACTGCTGGCTGGGCTCCTCACCACCCCAACGCTGACGCAGCTGTTGTTAGTGGCTGCTGCGGGACACTTTGCCTCCGAAACCAGGTGGGGGTAACTGGCTACACGGGGATTTTTAAATCCTTTATATTAAGTTCACTTGCTTGCTTGATTGCACACTTACGACCGTGCAAATCTTTCGGTCGTTTTTTAACCCACTTCCCGTGATCCAATCGAGCTGACATTTTGCACACAGACTCATTGTGCGTGACAATTCATTTTCGTGAAAAAAAATTTCAAAAATGTTACACTTTTTAGGAAAAAAAAATTATATTTAATTACCAATTGCTTAATAGTGGCAGGCAATCATCTGACCCATAGGTGGCAGCCATCTCAAGCCAGAGGACGAGAGGACTCTAGCCGCCACGCATATAAAGGATTTATAGTGAAAAACTTTGTTTTTACGGGTTAATTTTTTACATGTTGAGAGCCAAACACCGAATTAGATTGAAACGGTGGTAGAAGATGTTCGGAAGACGTTTAATAGTAATAATTATAACAATGATGGATATAGCGACACCGAAGCAGTTGGAGTAACGAATACAGAAGACTTTTTTTAAAAATGCTCTAAACCTTCAACGTGTACTCCTATCGATGCAATTCTTTCGCCAGATATTTATTTAAATCGTAGACAAATACAGATTGCTTTTAGTTCTCCGAGAACAGGCGGAGTGCAAGAAGAGGACGAGCGTCCAAGCGACAGCCTTCTCTTATTTTCCGTTTCGGAGCCACCGGTGATAATAATAATGTCATCGTAGTTTCAACTCGCAACACCTTGCCGCCCCCACAGTGTTCGCTCGCTCTCGTAGAGGCAGAGAGAGCGAGAGAAGGAGGAGGGACCACAGACGAGCGAGAAATCATCAGCAGCAGCCACGCGCTACCAACCAGTTTCCCAAGCTCTGCGGTCCTCGATACATCAACACGTTATAGGCCAATGAATGAGTGCTTACTTCTGAAAGGAAACGGGATCACACTCGATCACTGCTGCTGCTGCTGCGAGCCAGCGAGGTGGTGGTGCAAAATGCAGTTGTAACTCTCGCTGCGATGCACCCACGTGCTTACAATTCCTCCCGTCACACCAACCCGCACTGACCAGCGTGGGGGAAGTATGGCCAAATAACCCCACTTACCCGTCCACATTTTGGAAGGGGAAGGGATGGGGGGGGCAAGGCCACCATCCAGCAGTGGCTTAATTAACAAAGCGTCGTGCGTTGTTATTGTTGTTATTACTCGCGTGCGTTGTGTTCACGTGACACCCTCAAGACACGAGTGGCCGCTACCCCCCCCCCCCCACCCGGGTAATCATCGGCACGACGGAGTGGCGACGTTGCGCGACTCTGGCCGAGGTGGCATTTGGCGAAGCGAGGCTTGGTAACCTCGTCAGCGCCGAAGCCCTCATTAAATCCGAACCATCATTGCGGCTGCAAGGATCTACACGGAGTGTAAACTCGGCCCAGGCTATAGATTGACTGCGGCATTGCCTGGCCCGCGCGCAATGTGACGACCGGCATCGTTGTCCCGGGGGAGGGAGGGCACCCAGGTCGTGCCGCTGAGCATACGAACGCAATCGATGTGAGGGCGCGATTGATGGTCCAGCACTCACGATTCACTCGTCGCTGTTCCGTGGCCGCCACTACGACCGTGGGGGCAGCTCTTGCCGTAATTTTGCGCGCCGATTCATGAGTTCGTCCGTGTTGAGGACCTCGGTCCAGACCGCAGGTCACAAACAGCACAAATCCACTCATTCACACGGTCACCCACTCCACTCATTAACACGGTCACATACCCACCTCACTCAACTCATTCACACGGTCAACCATCCACCCACACTCCACTCATTTCACACGGTCACCCACCCACACTCCACTCATTCACACACCGACAATGATACTCCAAATAGCCTTCAACAGAATGCTAGCGAGCGTATATGAAGGCCGGCACAGCACACGAGGGGGTGGGTGGTAGCCAGCACCACGCCCGACCGCCTTTGTCTCCCCAGTGGTGATGTTTACACGCCGCACCGGGTACTCAATTGAGGCTGAGTCGACCTAGGGAAGCCCATGACCGGTTCAGATAATCGTCACCTGGTGTTGCCGTGAGCGAGAATCGAACTCAGGTCGCCGGGTTTGTAGCCGCAGCGCGATAAGCGGTTCACTACCACTCACTCATTCAATAACTCGTAAATTCACTTACTTTCACACCCACTCACTCACCACACTGCAGCACACAACAGCACACTCATTCACTCTCCCACCCACTCACTCATTCACCCACTCACTCATTCACCCCACTCACTCACCATTCACCCACTCACTCTTCACCCACTCACTAATTCACTCCCCCACCCATTTACTCATTACTCACTCATTCATCCCGCACTCATTCACCCCACTCACTCATTCAGCCACTCCAACTCATTCATCCACTCTACTCATGCACCCCACTCACTCATTCAATCCCCTCACTCCATCTCATCCACTCACTCATTCACCCCACTCACTCATTCATCCACTCACTCATTCATCCACTCACTCATTCATCCCCTCACTCATTCACCCCAATCACTCATTCATCCACATCACTCATTCATCCCCTCACTCATTCATCCCACTCATTCATTCACCCACTCACTCATTCACCCAATCACTCATTCACCCAATCACTCATTCACCCACTCACTCATCCACCCCACTCACTCATTCATCCACTCACTCATTCACCCCCCCCCCACCCAATTTACTCATTCACCCACTCACTCATTCACCCCACTCACTCATTCACCCACTCACTCATTCACCCACTCACTCATTCATCCACTCACTCATTTACCCCACTCACTCATTCACCCCACTCACTCATTCACTCCACTCACTCATTCACCCACTCACTCATTCACCCATTCACTCATTCACCCCACTCACTCATTCACCCCACTCACTCACTCCTTCACCCCACTCACTCATTCACCCACCTCACTCATTCACCCCACTCATTCATTCATTCAGCGACCCACGCACCACACTGCAGATCGCATTTCTCCGGCCCCTCATTCCCTGCCAATGCTCCGCTTCGGAATTCCCTCCCCTCCCATCTTCTCTCTTTCCCCCAGGTCGTAGAATGATGACCGCGTCGCTCAATTATGTGACAACTTTCAAGCAGTGCCGTTTGTTGCTGACCGCTTGGCGTTTTTGGTCATTTAGGTGCTGTTCTCAGCAAACTGTGATTTTAAACAAAGAAGTCATCGCCGCGCTGTGTTGTGTAAGTGGGTTACACCCATTGAGATGTATAATGTTGCACGATGTGCACAGAGGCTATTATTGCTGTTGGTAAATATAGATTATTGCTAGAGATTGGCTAATCCCCGCGGCATACAATGGGCCACTCTTGCGAATTATGACACTGGGCCTCTTCTTTAAGGGTGCAATCTGGGAAAATGAGTTGTATAGCTCATCGGATTCCTCCAGTATAAATACATATTGTTATTCCGATAAGGGTTCCCCCCCCCCCCCCCCCCACGTCACCTTCTTGGCTGAACACAGCATTTCTAAAACAGTGTGTGTTGAAACAAACGCATCAGATCGCGACCGACCCACGTTCACCACTCGTCTCAAACGCGCACCATTCGTTTATACACGCTGCACGCGCCCAATGATTGGTAAAGGCGTTTTGCTCAGAACTCAAACACCTTTCGCGTACAGATAGAATCAAAAAAACACAGATACAACAACAACCACGGACCTTGTGCCAGGCTACGTGCACTTTCTGACGACCAAAAAGAGGGGGAGCGGTAGCGTAGCGCTACAAACCCGGCTACACGGGTTCGATTCCCGCTCACGGCCAACATCAGTGAAGATTATCTGAACCGGTCCCCTAGGTCGACTCAGCCTCAAATGAGTACCTGGTGCGATGTGTAAACATCGCGTGCCGTGCCGGCCTTCATAGGTGCTTGCTAACAGCCTGTTAAGTCTATACGGGGATCACTTTATCACACACACACACGCATATGCACACCCAAACAGTCCCATAATCAACACGGACGCATACCATCCTGGGGTACAAACCCACGCACACCCACGCACATCCCATCAAAGGCAAAGATGCCCCGTATAGCTTCTTCGTGGCAGTTGGGACAAGTGCCGTTAACGAGCACAAGGTTAGACTGGTCCGGTGCGCGTCACGCCGGGCCGCCTTTGTCTCCCCACCGGTGATGTTTACACACCGCACCAAGTACTCATTTGAGGCTGAGTCGACCTAGGGGAGGCCCGGGACCGGTTCAGATAATCGTCACTGGGTGTTGGCCGTGAGCGGGAATCGAATCATGGTCGCCAGATTCGTAGCGCAAACCACTACACTACCGCTTCCCAAAAGACACAGATCACCCGTATAGCCTTAACAGACTGTAGGGGCAAGTGCTGTTAGCGAGCACCTATGAAGGCCTATCGCTTCCTACACACACAGACACATACACGATGATACACACACACACAGACACACAGACACCCACCCATCACACACGCGCATCGGACCCTCCCCCTTCCTCCTCCTTTACACCCCCCTCCCCTCCCCTCCTCCTCCTCCCCTCCCAAACAAATCGTCTCCCCACCCCTCCTCCTCCTCCCCAGAGCTGCTCAGGTCGCCGCACCGCTTGGGCGCGAGTGAAGACAAGAGCGGGCCAGGGTTGGTGGGACACGTGCGGATGGGAGGTGCTGATCGCTCAGCTCGCGCCCCTCCTCGATCTGTGTCGGCTTCCTTCATCCCCCGCTCACATCGTCTGCCCCTCTAGCCCACGTGTGTGTGGTGGTCTCAGCCACCTCGTCATGAGCGTCGGAGGAGTCACAGTCGCAGCTACACCGCCCGCGTCACAATCTTCTCTACATCATCACCACCATTACCTCCACCACCATCACAGCAATAATAATAACAACAAAATCATTATTCAGCAGCAGCAGCATCCTTCACGTGCCCATCGTGGATACTGCCCAGAGATGTTCCCTGGGACTCGCTGGGACGAGCCGAAGGGAGACGGAGCGGAGGTCGGAGAGACCCTCGCGGGAGACGCGGGGGTTGTGCCAGCCGCCCTGCAGGTAGGAGGTGGTGCGGGTGGTGGTGGTGGTGGTGATGTCAGATTAATGTGGTGGTGGTGGTCGAGGAGGTGGTGGTGATGAAGGAGATGGTAGTGGTGGTGGTGTGAGATTAATGTGGTGGTGGTGGTGTGAGAATAATGTGGTGGTGGTCGAGGAGGTGGTGGTGGTGGTGTGAGATAAATGTGGTGGTGGTGGTGATGAAGGAGATAGTGGTGGTTGTGTGAGATTAATGTGGTGGTGGTGGTGATGAAGGAGATAGTGGCGGTGGTGGTGTGAGATTAATGTGGTGGTGGTGGTCATGTGAGATTAATGCGGTGGTCAAGGAGATGGTGGTGATGAAGGAGATAGTGGTTGTGGTGGTGGTGTGAGATTAATGTGGTGGTGGTGATGAAGGAGATAGTGGCGGTGGTGGTGTGAGATTAATGTGGTGGTGGTGGTGATGTGAGATTAATGTGGTGGTGGTCAAGGAGATGGTGGTGATGAAGGAGATAGTGGTTGTGGTGGTGGTGTGAGATTAATGTGGTGGTTGTCGAGGAGGTGGTGGTGATGAAGGAGATAGTGGTGGTGGTGTGAGATTAATGTGGTGGTGGTGATGAAGGAGATAGTGGTGGTGGTGTGAGATTAATGTGGTGGTGGTGGTGGTGATGAAGGAGATAGTGGCGGTGGTGGTGTGAGATTAATGTGGTGGTGGTCGAGGAGGTGGTGGTGATGTGAGAGTAATGTGGTGGTGGTCGAGGAGGTGGTGGTGTTGAAGGAGATTGGTGGTGGTGGTGTGAGATTAATGTGGTGGTGGTGGTGTGAGATTAATGTGGTGGTAGTCGAGGAAGTGATGGTGATGAATGAGATAGTGGTGTTTCTGGTGGTGGTCGAGGAGAATGAGGTGGTAGTCGAGGAGGATGAGGTGGTGGTGGTGTTGGTGATGAAGGGGGAGACGTGCGCTGTTTATGCTGAACGTGATGGCAGTGATCAAAGCTGGTGGTGAAGGCATTGGTTGTAGGAATGGCGTTGGTCATGAGAGAGGTGGTGGAGGTGGTGGTGGTTGTGGTTATACTAGAGGTCGTGATGGTTGGGGAATTGTGGTGGTGGAGTAAGTGAAGATGCTGATTATAATTACAAGGCACTGGTTGTGTTAGTGGTTGTGGTGATGGTGGTTGAAGAGATACAGTGGTGGTGGTGGTGGTGGTGAAGGTGATGTGGAGATTGAGGAGACGTGGTGATCGTGGTGATGGGGTGGTGGTGGTGGTTGAGGTGATGTGGTGGTGGTGGTGGTGATAGTTGAGAAGAGGTGTTGATGGGGAGTACTGGCCACGCCTTTGACCACATCATCCAGAACGCGCCAAACCTCATCTCAATTCGGAAGCTAATCTGAGTTCAGCCTGGCGTCTTCTGTACACCCCGTGTCTTGTGTACACCACGTATCTTGTGTACACCACGTGTCTTGTGTACACCACGTGTCTTGTGTACACCAGGTATCTCGTGTACACCAGGTATCTCGTGTACACCACGTGTCTCGTGTACACCACGTGTCTCGTGTACACCACGTGTCTCGTGTACACCACGTGTCTCGTGTACACCACGTGTCTCGTGTACACCACGTGTCTCGTGTACACCACGTGTCTCGTGTACACCACGTGTCTCGTGTACACCACGTGTCTCGTGTACACCACGTGTCTTGTGTACACCACGTGTCTTGGTTATGGGCTTCGAGGTGGCCAAGAGGTGTCAGTACAGCAAACCCAATCTGCATGAGCAAGAGGGGGGTGAGGAAGAGGTGAGGAGAGATGAGGAAGAGGTGAGGAGAGGGGGTGAGCAAGAGGAGGTGAGGTGAGGGAGGTGAGAGGAGGATGCATGAGACTGAACTTTCGCTGAATGGGTCCGGGCCTCATCCCTCTTCGGGCTCTCAAGGCGCGTCTCTCACCGAGCTTGGCTCCACTGACACTCGCCAAGCCAACCCCCTTCAACACGACGAGCTGCGAGTGGTAGTGGGGGGGTGGTGGGGGGGTAGTGGGTGGGTGGTGGAGGGGTGTGCCTGGGCATGGCTCGCGGAGAACTTCCTTCAGCCAGCAGTGGACAGATCACGGCTACGGCGGCTGCTGCTGCTGCTGACGATGAGAAATGCGGGCGGAAACTAAACTATAAACTATTTTTATGTTTCCAGGTAAGGAAAAGCAAGGGGGCCAGGGAGGTGGGGAGAGGGTAGCGAGACGAGGCTAAAAGAGGGATGAGGGAGGGGGTTGATGATTTGGGGGGTTCCAATAAATTCCACCACCCCCCCCCCCTCTTTCCCACATACCCCCCCCCCGCACGCACTCCTCTCGCCGCAGCTGCGGGTATGGGAAGATAACGTGTGCAGGGTAGCTACTGCCTCGTACAGCGAAATAAGTTGGGGTGGAGGTTGGGGGGAGCGCAGTGTAGTGAGGGGGGGGGGGGGTGGAGGGTCGCAGGGTAGCCGAGGGGGGGGCAAGGTAGTGGGGTTGGGGCAGGGTAGCGCAGGGGGACAGGGTAGTGGGGGGGGCTGCTTTAGGGTCTGCCATGTGTTCGTCTGGGTGTGTAGGAAGGAGCACGTCCACCAATCAAATCAGCTGTCCACGAGTAGGTTATAGGGGTGGATAATTATTATCCATCGCCGGATCGCGAGTGGTGGTGGTGGTGGTGGCTTGGGGAGTCCTTCATCCAGCAGTTGATTGAACAAGGCTGATGATGGAGTGGGGTGGGGGGAGGGGTTTGGAGGGGGCGGGAAGGAGGTGATGTGTGTGGGTGGCGCGGGGGACATGCGAGATGGATAAGCGAGGTGGTGTAATGAGTAAATCAGTGTCGGAACTCGCCCAGTGGTCCACCACGACCCCTCCCGCCCTCTCCACCCCCTCCACAAGGGATACCCTCTCCCCCTTACCCCGCTTTCATCTCTCCGCACCACCACAACCAACCAACCACAACTCCCAACGCTCGCCACCAACACAACCACAACCACACCCATCATCTATCGATGCATACACACGAGAACACACAAAGACAAAGATCCCCCCGTGTAGCCTTAACAGACTGTTGGGGCAAGTGCTGTTAGCGAGCAGCATCTATGAGGCCGGTACGGCGCACGAGGGGGTGGGTGGTCAACACCACGCCCGGCCGCCTTTGTCTTCCGAGTAGCGATGTTTACACATCGCACCAGGTACTCATTTGAGGCTGAGTCGACCTAGGGGAGGCCCAGGATCAGTTCAGATAATCGTCACTGGTGTTGGCCGTGAGCGGGAATCGAACTCGGGTGGCCAGGTTCATAGCGCAGCGCGCTAATCGCTCCACCACCGCTCCCCAACACACACAATGACACACACACGTACACACGCCCACAACATCGCGTGCATGAACATGGTACAATCACAACCACAGACACACGTGCGCTCACACGCACAGACATTCATAACAAACAAGAAACCCACCCACACATCCATAGTCATGAAACGACACACACGCACACGCGCAAAGCACTTGCACGGGTAAAGACGTACGCACACCGACAAAGATAAAGACGCCCCATATAGCCTTTGACGGGCTGTTGGGACAAGTGCTGTTAGCGAGTTCTTATGAAATCCGGAACGGCACACGAGTGGGTGGGTGGCCAACACAATGCCCAGCCGTCTTTGTCTCCCAGGTGCTGATTTTCCACACTGCCCCGGGTACTCATTTAGGGCTGAATCGACCTACCAGCAGTGCCGGACTAAGCTAGTACGGGGCCTGTAGCATATGTTATAAAGGGGTCCTAAAAAAAAAATCTTAAAACACGCATTTTTAATTTCGATTTAAAGCTTTCGTGACTGCAGGGATTCATCTTATTGGTTCTTTCGGTAAAGTCACGTAGAATGGAAATAATAAAATAATAAAATAAAACATAATAAAATAATTCTCACGACGTTTCGGCCACAACGCAAGCAGCCGTCCTCAGGTGAAGACCAGGTCTGTCGGGGAGACAGCGTCTGAATGAAACAGCACCGCTCCAAGCAAATTATTTAAACCGTGGTCTTCACCTGAGGACGGCTACTTGCGTTGTGGCCGAAACGTCGTGAGAATTATTTTATTATGTTTTATTTTATTATTATTTCCATTCTACGTGACTTTACCGAAAGAACCAAGAAGACGCATTTTTAACTTTCATAGTAAAGTAATTGTATTTTTTCATTTGATATACAGCCAGATAATGCGACAAATCGCTAACCTCAAACACCCAGTCGTTCATATAAAAGTTGAAGGCGGTATAGTACTATAGTAATAGAGCACGTGCAGAATCACTGAACCGGAATTGCCTGCTTGAAAGCGTTTACCGCGGGACCCTTGTAAGTTGCCCGTAGCGTGTGCAGCTACTTTTGCTACGAGGATAATCCGGCACTGCCTACCCAGGATCGGGTCAAATATCACTCTCCGCCGACGATGTTAGCCGTGGCTTTAGAATCGACCTCGGCTTAGAGTCGCAGCACCCGACTGCCTTTGTCTTCCAATGCTTAATGTTTACACACCGCACCTGGTACTCATTCAAGTTAATTTATTAGGTATAGCCCTGTGAGCCATTCGGCTCTTGAATCGGGTGCAACCGCAACAAACAAAAACATGAACAAAAAACATCTTAAAGTGAGTGCAAACAGAAAATCCAAGAAAAGATAGCAAAATATTGCAGAAAAAAACACCGTACACCAACACTGTGTGCAAATATCCCAGTGGGATGCAAGTCAAACAACAACAACCACAACACAACTTAGATTAAGGCAATCAGTCTAACTCTGTACTACAAACAAACATGGCTAAACCAATACACTTTTCGAAATCACCAAAATAAAGCCATGAAAGCAATAAAAAAGCAATCATAGGAACTGTGACGGAATTTACGGCTGAGTCGACCTAGGGGAAGCCCAGGACTGATTAAAATATTCGCCACCTCTTATTGGTCGTGGGCGGTAATCGAACTCGGGTCACTGTGTTCACAGCGCAACGTGGCGCGAACCGCTGCACCACCGCTCCCCACTTGCACGCACACACACGCACGTGTACAGACACGCACGCCCACGCAGTCCAGAGACTCGCTCTTAAAGGTCGTGGTGATTGTTGTTATACCGAGTGGTAGATTTGAATCGGGGACAGGGGTTGAACATGACCTTGTGTCCTGTATGGCAGCGGTTCTTTCAGAGGTAGCGAAGGAAGGGGTGGGGGGGGGGGGCACAGGCTGCGGCATGGTTACCATGCAGGACAAATTACCAATAAAACAGCTTAGTAGCCCACCTGCATTAGCATCATAGTGTGTGACCACACTACATCTTAGAGACCCACAGACTCACGCAGAGACCCCCCCAGACGGACGCAGAAACCCACAGACTCACGCAGAAACCCACAAACTCACGCAGAAACCTACAGATTCACGCAGAGACCCACAAGCTCACGCAGATACCCACAGACTCACGGAGAAACCCACAGGCTCACACAAAGACCCACAGACTGACGCAGAGACCCACAGACTGACGCAGAGACCCACAGATTCACACAGAGACCCACAGGCTCACATAGAGACCCACAGATTCACGCAGAGACCCACAGATTCACGCAGAGACCCACAGACTCACGCAGAGACCCATAGGTTTACGCAGAGACCCACAGACTCACACAGATACCCACAGGCTCACACAGAGAACCACAGGTTCACGCAGAGACCCACAGACTCACGCAGAGACCCCCAGAATGACGCAGAGACCCACAGGTTCACACAGAGACCCACAGACTCACACAGAGACCCACAGGCTCACAGAGACCTACAGACTGACACAGAGACCCACAGGCTCACGCAGAGACCCACAGACTCACGCAGAGACCCACAGATTCACGCAGAGACCCACAGACTCACGCAGAGACCCCCAGAATGACGCAGAGACCCACAGGCTCACACAGAGACCCACAGACTCACACAGAGACCCACAGGCTCACAGAGACCTACAGACTGACACAGAGACCCACAGGCTCACGCAGAGACCCACAGACTCACGCAGAGACCCACAGATTCACGCAGAGACCCACAGACTCACGCAGAGACCCACAGATTCACGCAGAGACCCACAGATTCACGCAGAGACCCACAGGTTCACGCAGAGACTCAGGCTCGATCAATATCGAGCCACGTGTAGTGTGTGTCAGAGGACCATCCCCAACAACACGTGGTGCGGTTGTGTGCACGTGCAGCCAGTGCCGTTATTGTATCGTGTGACATCACACTTATCGACTTGTGAATTAACGTCCGCAGCATCAGCAGCTGCCACCTTCTCAAAGTTTTCACCGCTGAGAGGGAGGTTGTTTTTTACTCTTGGCCAAAACTGCCTCCGGGCAAAAAAATGAAAAAAACAACCCTCGCTTGCATCAGAGAAGTCCTCCACCGACCTTCCAAAAGAAGTCACCAGCTTCATTCCTTAGGATGAGCTTAAGTGTTTTCTTTAAAGCCAGGAGAGTGGGGGACGATAGATATTGAAAACTGAATGAATGGCACAACAAGTAGTAGGTTGTGTGGGGAGGGGGCTCTGGTCACGAGTCGTCGCTAGGAGGGAGACAAAGGCGGCCGGGCGTGGTGTTGGCCACCCACCCCCTCGTGTGCCGTGCCGGCCTTCATAGGTGCTCGCTAACGGCACTTGCCCCAACAGTCCGCTGAGGCTATAAGGGGGGGATCTTTGTCTTTGGGGTGGGGGCAACGAGACCAGGCGTCTGGATTGCGTGGGAGGGGGTTGTCCTGCATGAGGCTGAACATCACTGCTGTAGGAGGTGGTGCGGGGAGTGGGAACGAATCAAACACCCCCATACACCCACCCACCCACCACGTCCATCCTCACCCCCCCACCACCACCCCCCAGCCCCCCCCCCCCCCCGTTTTGGACCCCCCCCCCCCACCTTATTTATATCAATTGCCAACCCCAGTAAATTTATGCCCGGAATAAAACCCGAGTTAACGATGGTCACTGAAGGCAGTTGACGACCATCGGCACAAAGTTTCCGATTTCATAGTCACGCACACGACACAACCAACCACGGACACACGGTCACGAAGACAAATATCCCCCCGATAGCCTCGACAGACTGCTGGGGCAAGTGCTGCTAGCGAGCGCCTATGAAGGCCGCCACGGCACACGAGGGGGTGGGGGGAGGCCAACACCACTCCCGGCCGCCAGGTACTCAGTACTCGCCCCCGCCATGTGACCGTGGGACGTCTGAGATGACGGCCACGCCGACAGGACATCGCTTTCACTTTGTGATGGCCAGGAGGTAGCCCCTAGCACGACACGGCACAGATCGGGGACGGAAGAGTTCTCGATTTAGCCCGACCGCGGTTGTGATTGCACACGAGTCCACGTGCGTGCGTGCGTGCCAGGTGAACGGTGACCATGACCTGGACCCTCGTCTGGGCTCGAACCGGGCTACGTTCTCCCAGCGGCCATCGTGGTTCCACGTGGGACCCGAATCCCAGCCGCCAACATCGACCCCGCTCAGCATCAACGTGAACATCGTGCTGGCGGAGCCGAGCCCCCTAAATGGGGGGCTCAAACTGGGGGCGACTGATGACGATTGCGCCGCTGCTGCTGCTGCGTCGGACTTGCTGCTGCTGCCGCACATCAATGTGTTCCGCCCCGATTCGACTCCAGCACAGGACCCGGTGCCTCGTAAGCCTCCTCCGCCGTACCCGGGTACCGCCGCTCCCGTCTCCTTGACCACCGGCGGTGATGGGCGTTTCCACGGCAACGCGTTTACTATGGCAACGCGCCTGACGATTAACTACGGGGACCAGAGGCAACAGCAGCAGCAACAGCAGCAGCATCAACAACAACCACCACCCCCTTACGTGCATCTGCCCTCGGGGAATTTTCTGCCACCGACTCCTCCAAGGTCACAGCCACATAGCCCCGAAGTGGATGGGGATGTGCTCGCAAGTTTGGGTTTGCAACATCAGCTTCAAAACCACCATCATCATCAGCAGCAGCAGAAGCCCATGGGTCATCATCACCCCCATCATCAGCAGCAGCAGCATCGGCACCAGCACCAAAATCAACAACAAGATCAACGGTGTATCGAGATTGTCCAGAATTGTCACACGCCCGTGAAATTTCCTTCTCGATTGTACACGAGTGGGCCGCACAATCATCATCATCATCAGCAGCAGCACCATCAGCTGCAGCACCATCAGCAGCAGCAGCAGGTGCAGCAACACCCCGAGGCTGAGCTACAACTGCAACATCAGCAGCAGCAGCAGCAATTACTACAGCACTGTTTAAACAGCCCAAGCTTGGCTCAAAGTCAGCAAAGCCACAATCATCATCACGAGCACGACTTGTACCAACGAGATGTTTCCGCTGATGATGCTGATCATAATAACGTGGCACAGCAGCACCACTGTCTACATTCAAACAACGAGCAGCAGCAGCATCAGCGGGAAAGTGTTTATAATCAGCAGCATCAGCAGCAACAGGGAAGTGTTCACAACCATCAGCAGGAGAGTGTTCAACAGCAGCATCAGAAACAGCAGCAGCAAAGTGTTCACCATCATCAGCAGCAACAGCAGCCAAGTGTTCACCATCAGCAGCAGCAGGAAAGTGTGAATCATCAGCAACAGCAGCATCAGAAACAACAGCAGCCAAGTGTTCACCATCATCAGCAACAAGAAAGCGTTAATCATCAGCAACAGCAGCATCAGAAACAACAGCAGCAAAGTGTTCACCATCATCAGCAGCAGCAAGAAAGCGTTAATGATCAGCCGCTGCGGCATCAGCAGGAAAGTCGCCATCAGCATCAGCACCATCATCAGCAAGTGACACCGCGACTCCCCGGAGCTCCACGCAGCAGCCGTCAGAGCAACCCCGAGTTGGAGAAGAGACGGATCCACCACTGCCTCTTCCCAGGTTGGATTCCCTGTCGCGGGTCAGTGGAGTCGAGGCTCACTGAGCCAGACTAAGGCACCATCACCCACCCACCCCTTCCCACCTGCCCGGCACAAGCGAAGCAACGTCCGTTGTCTCGCCCGCTGCATTTCCCCATTTCCATTGTGCAGATGAGTTCAGCACATCGGCTCGCCGCCACGCGCCACGTGTGCACGCGCCTTGTAAAATCATCAAGTCAATCCGCTGCTGGATGAGGGGGGCCTGGCGCCTCCCCCAGGGGGGGGGGTATTTGACCATACTTCACCACGCTGGTCAGTGCGGATTAGATTAGTGAAGTGGGCAGCGTACAGGGGGGGGGAGGGGGGGCGTCATAGAAGTGTTGTACAACGGGATGTGTTTTGCATTACCCTCTGCTGCCTGCTCCAGGTGTACACATATGTAGATGGTGGCCCCAAAATTCAGGACACGTTGGGTTATTATATTTACTTTAACAAATCACGTAGGGTGACCTCATTTATTTTAACAAATGTTCAAACAGACTTATATTAACACGAATGAACGATGCATGAATTCTCTTTTGAATTCAATGTAGGACTTTTGTTTTTCAAAGATGGGATCTTTGAATGCTCACCCAAATAGTTTTGATGTCTCAGTTCATTCCGGGTTCTTGGTCGAGTTTTGTAAACGACAGATATAAGGTGACCCCCCCCCCCCCCCCCCATGATGAAGAGTACAATTAGATATTAATAATGATAATAGAGAACATATTAACTAAACGAATAAACAATTACAGAATGCAATGGCAGTCGTAAAATAGATTAGATAGCCCCGTGTGTCCTGACTTTTGGGCCACCCCGTATGTATACACACTGTCGGGAGTGGCGGTGGCGCAGCGGTTAGCGCACTGTGAACCTGTCATTGATGGCTATGATATGTTAACTATCTCGCCTGGTGCGCAGGAGGTCGTGGGTTCGATCCTGACCCTGACGCCTGCTGCTGTATATTTGGATTTTGCGTGTCTCTCTCCCCGTGGTCGCGTGGATTTTTCTCCGGCCCCCCTTCCCCCCCACACATTTAGAAAATCAACGTCACGCGTTTAGACTATTCGGCTGCTGCTCTAAACCTCGACACGATAAGCCACTTCGTTGAGCAATCATTATTTGTGATAGTCGGGTCGCGTCTGAAAAAAAGAGCGATACAACTCAATGGGCCTTACCTGGTAAAACAATACAATCATTTAGTTTCGTTTTCATTTAAATTTCGGCAAGGGCCTGCATCAGCGGCGAGTGATATTCCGCTGCTGAGCAGCCAAGCCTGGTGAAGCTGTCCCAGCGACGCCGCCGAACGCAGGGCGATGAACGAACTCGAACGAGCTGTTGGCGTGAGTCACGGCCAAGACGCAATGTCTCACCTGGGTGTCAACTCCGCCAGCATTCGTCTCAAGCGCCTGACCCAGCAGCCGCCTGTCTCGAAGGGACGACACCCCACCCCGCTACCCCACCACACGATAACCACCCATCCCCCCTGCCATGAGCGGCAGATGCCCGCTTCTTGTCGCATCCCTAAATAACTGCGTGTAGGCGGAGGGGAGCGGGGTTGGGAGTAGGGGGGGGGTATAGGCATTTGCAGCTTGCAGGACGACTCGATCGCTCACCATTCGTGTGTGCGTGTGTTTATTTACAAGAACAACGATCACCCCCGTAGCCCGAATAGCCTTAACAGACTGTTGGGGCGAGTGCTGTTATAGCGAGTAGCAGCTATAGTGGGCAACAACCACGCCCGACCGCCTTTGTCTCCCCAGTGGCGATGTCCACACACGGCACCAGGTACTCAATTGAGGCTGAGTCGACGTAGGGGAGGCCCAGGACCGATTCGGAAATATTCGTCACTGGCGTTGGCCGTGAGCGGGAATCGAACTTGGCTCGCCAGGTTCGAAGTTCAGTGCACGAATCACTGTGCTACCGCTCTCCCATATATACAGGACTTATACACACAGATACAAAACAAGACAAAGATCACCCGTATAGCCTACACAGGCTGTTGGGGACAAGTGCTGTTGTTTGCGAGTGCCTATGAAAGGCGGTACGGTGCTCGAGGAAAGCTGTGTGACCAGAACCACCCACGACTGCCTTTGTCTCTCCACTGCTGCTGTGTACACACCGTACCAACTACCCCCCCCCACCTCACTTCTCTCTCGTTAACTCTCCCCCCCCCACCTCTTTCCCAAGGCTGCTCCAAGGTGTACACCAAGAGTTCTCACCTGAAAGCTCACCAGAGGACGCACACAGGTGAGCGACTTGGGCGCAAACTCCTCCTGGCTCCCCCACGGTTGCTCGCTCCATTATTTCCCGACACGGCCACTGTGAGCCACCTTTCTCTCCCTTCCTCCCATCGCGTTAGCGTGGCCTGTGTGACCCCCCCACCCCCACCCCCACCCCCGTGCCCATACTGGACATCTGTTAAAAAACAAGAGCTTTACAGCTTATCGGATTCCGCCAGTATGAATATTTTTTTCTGAGTGTGTGCGGTCCCAGGATTGTTGGGATCACGTAAAGTTTCGTGAGAATCAGCTGGAATGCATAAGTAGCGCACTGAACTTGCAACCCAGAGGTCACCGGCAGTTGAAACAACGGGACAAGTTTCTTGTGTGTACGTGTGTTAAACTTCTTTCGCACCGTACATAAGCCAACCGTGCTGATCGGAGGTGCGGAGGGAGAGGCAGAAAACTAAACGCAACAAGCGGCTCTAAAGAACTGAGTTTTCAACCGGGATTTAAACGTGCATAGCTCCCTCCAGTGGCTTCCCAATATCGGACGGAAGAGCGTTCCAGACGGCCGCAGAAGCGTATCTGAAAGCGCGCGATGCGGTGACCGATGTAAACTCTCAAGACCCCTCGCACTGGTGCACAATGCGTGAAACCACACTAGGAGACAGCTGCCTGCCGAGTTAGTACACACAGTACACATACAGTACACACACAGCACACACACAGCGCACACACAGTACACACACAGTACACAGAGTACACACACACAGTACACACAGTACACACACAGTACACACAGCACACACACAGTACGCACAGTACACACACAGCACACAGCGCACACACACAGCACACACACACAGCACACACACACAGCACACACACACACAGCACACACACAGCACACACACAGTACACACACAGCGCACACACACAGTACACACACAGTACACACAGCACATACACAGTACACACACAGCACACACACAGTACACACAGCACACACAGAGTACACACAGTACACGCACAGCACACACACAGCACACAGCACACACACAGTACACACAGCACACACACAGTACACACAGTACACGCACAGCACACGCACAGCATACACACAGCACACGCACAGCACACACAGAGTATACACACACCGCGTGTAGAATGAATTCAAACCGCATAGCAGAGCGAATCTTGGGTAGACATAGATTCCGCGCCGCAGATACGGCGCGGAATCGCAGTCGGAACCCGCATAGAGCGAGAGAAAGGGGCCGTCCATAAATGACGTCACGCACCTAGGGGGGGGAGGTCAGACAATTGTGACGATGTGTGACGAGGGGGGGGGGGGGGTTGAGAAATGTGACGTCACATCCAAATGCGCAACTTTAAAAAAATATGGAATTGTTATAACAACACGAATTGTTATAACAACACTCCTACAGCATCAGAGTGCAGCGCCACATTAAATACGCACTACAATGACAATAGTTTAAAGCGATTTGAAGCATGTTTTATTTTCAAAATGGAAATATGGTTTTGGTGGGGGGGGGGCAGAGCTTTGTGAGGTCATATTTGAGGGGGGGGGGGTCTGACTTTTTGTGACGCCGTGTGACGAGGGGGGAGGGGGGTCAAAAATCGTCAAAAATCGCGTGACGTCATTTATGGACGGCCCCAAACCCGCATACAGGCAATACACGAGATACGAACTTCCGACTTCCAAACATCTGCAAACATCAGCAAGGTGTTATGTTTAACCATCCAACAACTTGCAGCCGTTCGGTCATATCCATAAGAGGTTTTGTTTGGGTGAGATCGCGTAAATAGAAATGTGTCGTTAAACCCACCACCACTCGACACAGCCAATCATAGTAAGGTTCGTCACGTAAACAGAACGTGCCAATTCGTTACTAGTACAGCACTAACCGGTGCGCTGGAGAGTACATCCACAACGTTTACAAATTAGAGCCCCACGTTTCGCCAGTAATTACAACCAGCCTCATCAGGCGACAGCCAGATTTGTGGAGAAATCCTCCTGTTTCGTTATTAAATAGAGGGATAAATGCGATGTCGTCATTTGTGAGGCACTCAGGTGCGAAGGCCAGAGGGGTGGGGTCGGTCATATGAGCCGAACCAGCGGAACTAATTTGCTTAGCAGAGCGACCCCTTCGCGAGGCGTAATGAGTCCCGCTGGAACTCATTACGCCCCATGCGACAGGCAAGCCCGCATCAGGACTCAAGGTACGTAAACATGAAAAAAACATGCGTTCATGTTTCTTGATTTTACTTATTATGAAGTATTTATCACAGTATTACATGCTTATGTACAATGTTTCTCGTTATTTATGAGTTTGGCAATGCGTCCCTTTTTTGTGGAACCACAAGACACTTTTTTTGTGGAACCACAATACACTTTATAACAACTCACCATATTTACAATTCACTAAGAAGTTCCGAGTTATGAACAAAACCGACTTACGAACCCGTTCGTAAGTCGACTGCCCGTACACCCACACTCATACATCTATCACAATGTGTATGTGCACACACATCTATCACAATGTATATGTGCACACACAGATATCACAATATATAAGTACACACACATCTACATATATACAATTTTCCAAAGGCAGCGAGACGTGTCTGAACAAGTGGTCCCGACATTAAAGATGACAGGAGAGGCCTGGGAGCTCGTGAAGGTTGATTCCATCTCCTTTGGCTGTCGGAAACTCAGACTCGGCACGCAACGGGAAGCGAACCTTAGTGTCCACACCTATCACATCATCACGCTCGCTTCACTTAGGGAAGCATTCGCTGAGTCTCAAAGGGATGGCCGGGGGGGGGGGGGGGGTCCTGGCCCAGTTGTCGCAGAGGGGCGATGTTACTGCTGCCACTGCTGCCGTTGCTACCGCGTCATCCACATTGAGTGACGTGCCGTGTCCTTTTTCAGCATTGGGATGTTTTTAGCTCAAAGAAGTTGTTTTTTTATTCGCGAGTAGAGAGTATGGGGGGGGGGGGGGGGTTGAGAAGCTGACACCCCCCCCCCCGCCCCCCACCACGCATAACACGGCTCTGCCAAACTCCAACATCGGACCCACCGTTCGACATCTGGGAAGGAAGAGCGTTCTCCGGTTTCAATCGCCACTCTCAGCGAGGGGCAGAGTGGGGAGCAGTGGGGGTTGGAAGGTGAAGGTGGAGGGGGGGCAGTGGAAGAGGGGGGTGCACAGTCCCCCCCCCCCCCCTTGTCACTGGTATCTAAATAAAGTTGCTCGCCCACCCGCCCACACCCCCCCTACCACCACTGCCGTGCCCAAGCAAGACCTTTTACCATCGCAACATCACCACTATGAATACTGCAACGACGGTTGTCATCGAAGACGGCCGGGCGTGGTGCTGGTCGGCCACCCACTCATCCACCCACCCACCCACCTTACACACCCACCCACCCACCTTACACACCCACCCACCCAATCACTCACCCACCGACCTACCCACTCACCCACCACTCATCATCCACCCACCCACCACTCATCCACCCACCCACTCACCCACCACTCACGCACCCACTAACCCACCCACTCATCCACCGACCTACCCACTCACCCACCACTCACCCACCCACCCACCCACTCACCCACCCCGTGACTCCCCAATCTGCGTGTGCCGTGCCAACTCGCGTAGTAACAGATGGTGGCTACACGCTGCACGTGGTTGCCTGTAATCCAGCACTGCTGAAAGCAGCAGCAGCGAGAGTTGTTGGATCACGACACGGACGGGAGTGCCGTGATCATAGAGGAGGTGCCATGCCCTGGGCTCGCTAGGAGAAGGCAGTACAGCAAATGGACTAATCGTCATCTGCTTATTCCACCTGTACGGGGATCGAGTGTTGCCCCCTTGTGCAAGGCAAGGGTCTTCTCCGGGTGCTCCGATTTTCCTCCAACGTATAAAATAAAAAATAATATAAATATATAGATGTGTCGTTAAAACCCGCCACCACCCGACACAGCCAACTACTAAGGGTTGTCACGTAAACAGAACGTGCCAATTCGTCACTCGTACAGCACTAACCGGTGTGTTGGAGAGCCAACAGACTGGTGTGTAACGACACACTTATATATTTACGCGATCCAACCCCCAAAAAATGTATGCATGATATTGGTCGCTAAAACCTACGTGTTAAACTGAATAATAAAAAAACTCATAATTAATTGTCCGACAACATCTTATAAAAAAAGGCAATGCAGCAGGACCATTCTGAAAAAGATTCATACGGCACAAGTGTGGCTCTGCTGAATAAATAAATAAATGCATTTTAGTGATCATCTAGTCCGTGACGCGCTTCACCCAAAGCCCCACTCCCTCTCCTGACCGACGTGCACGATGCCGTGAACCTGCGCGCGCCTTCTCTGATCCACGCGGTCCTCCTCCTAAGGACCAACGATGTAACATTCCAAGCCGCGTGCATGTGCCTCGCGCTTCCACGTACACCTGTGTTGCCGAGCTCGTGTTCCATGCGTGTTGCGTTCATGACCACGTCTTTCCGAACCGCGTCTCACGGCCCTTTTCACGTTTTTAAGAAATAATATTTTACCAATTTGCGTCAAGAACCGACGACACCAACCAGCAGACCCCCCCCTATACAGTGGCACATTCTTATTATTATTATTATATTAACAGCACGTGCTCCAACATGGCGGTGGCTGGGGTGGTGAGGGTGGTAGGGGAGGGGGGATCAATGGAGGGCAGAGGAGCGACGCTCACAACAACGAGCGGAGCGCCGGGCGGCTAAAATGCAGCAAGTTGGCACAGCGGGGAGGGGGGGGGGGTACAGCTGGTGCATCTACCGGTCATCTCAGTCATCCAACCCATGGCACCTGCTGGGCCTGTCCCGAGACCTCCTGTCGGCGAGCCTTCAACACTTCACGTGCCCTCGAAGTGCACCTGGCCTGGCACAGGCGCCGTGCTGACGCCACCGTCACTTAGTGGCGAATGGCGGTTGTATTGGTATTGCGGGGAGAGTGGGGAGGGGTGATATTTTATTGTGACGTGCGCCTGTGACGTACACCTGTGACGCGCGCGCCTGTGACGTCCCCGCAGGCGAGAAGCCGTACGCGTGCGCGTGGGCCGGCTGCACGTGGAGGTTCGCGCGCTCCGACGAGCTGACGCGACACTTCCGCAAGCACACGGGCTCGCGGCCCTTCCCGTGCCACGCGTGCGGCCGGGCCTTCTCTCGCTCCGACCACCTGGCGCTGCACAGCAAGCGGCACCAGTGAGCCAGCACGCCCCGGCGCGCATTTCTTCCTCGTTTTCCCCCTTTCCTCCTCGCAGGGCTAAACAACAACGGGTTCCGGCTACGGGACATCTTGAAATGTACAAAAACACATTTGGCTCGTTTGTTTTGTTTAAAAAGGGGTCCCTCTCTCGGCGAGCCTCGAGGTTTACTCGACGAGGAAGTTCCTCTGCGATTCGGCGTGGTTGGATGGCGTCTGCGGGCGAGCGAAGAAACGCAAACGGAACCCGCCGCACACACGGTGACATCGAAAGCTCCGCAGGGAGTGGATTCCAGGGATCCATCGCTGCACTGCCATCGCGTACCAGCTCGACAGCGCTTGCTGTATTGAAACACAAATCGCACCGGGGCTGCTTTCAAAATGAGGGTTCACAGATATTCTGGAAGCTTTCAGGGTCGCCGATTGCCGCGAGAGGCTGTCCCGTGACACCGGCAAACCAGGCACCGGCCCGCCAAAGATAAATATCCCCCGTGTAGCCTTAAAAGACTGTTGGGACAAGTGCTGTTAGCCAACACCTAAGAAGGCCGACAAGGAGCACGAGGGGCTGGGTGGCCAGCACCACGCCCGGCCGCCTTTGTCTCCCCAGTGGTGATAATTGTACACACCGCACCAGGTACTCATTTGAGGCCGGGTCGACCTACGGGAGGCCCAGGACCGATTCAGACAATCAACACTGAAGTTGGCCGTGAGCGGGAATCGAACTCGGATCGCCGGGTTCGTAGCGCAGCGCGCTAACCGCTACACCACAGCTCCCCGGTTTCAGCACCACTGCTTCCAACGGAGCCCGACTCTGCTGATGAGACACTGCATGGCGAAACCGGCGCCGAGTTAAGTTGTGCTTGTGCCGAATCAGTGCTGCTTAGTTTACAACCCCCCACAATGGCTGTGGGACGGATGGGATGCGTGCAAAGCATTTTAAAAAATTTTGAATGATGACATAAATACGGGTGTTCGGATGTTCGAACACCAAATATTTGCACGAGAAAGGGCTATAAGACTGCATTGTTCTTCTATTTTTATATCATTCAGTACCTTGATACTGGGGCAAGGTTTCGCCGTGGTTGCGTTGATGCGGAGACGCAGACCTATGAATGAAACGCATCGCCTGCTTATCTGCGCTGTTCATTATCTTGCGGTTGTTTACTCGGGCAGTAAACAAAACAGAGAGTGGGTTGTAAAAAAAAACACAATCACCAGCCTACCGCTGGTTGGCAAGCGTGTGAATTGATATCTGGTGGAGTGTGGTAACAACGTCTGCTCTTGAATGGTGACTTATCCGGTCAAATATCCGCTCTGAAGCGGTGAAATAATGTGGTGTGTGGTATCCGATGCGATTTGACGGATTATCCGGAAGAAAAAAAAAATCGTTGTTCTGAATTATGTATACACCTGGTACACATGTCCGCTTGTGTGGATCGATGAATTAATCAGGTTTAAAATAATCTGGTCTGACATCATTAAATACCCACATGGTATGAAGCGGTGACATATCTGACGAGTTATGTTCACTTACGAGTTATGTTCACGTACGAGATCTTATTCTTTGGTTCTTTCGGTAAAGCCACGTATAAAGATAAAATAATAAATTATGCTATTATTTAATTTATTATTTTATCTTTATACGTGGCTTTACCGAAAGAACCAAAGAATAATTCCTGCAGTCACGAAAGCTCCAAAATCAAGTACGAGGTCTTCTCTGTGCACGCGTTTTCCTGCTCTGCATCCAACTTCGTCGGCTGCTGCTGCAACCGCTGCTGCTGCTGCAACTGCTGCTGCTGCTGCTGCAACCGCTGCTGCTGCTGCAACCGCTGCTGCTGCTGCTGCAACCGCTGCTGCTGCTGCTGCAACCGCTGCTGCTGCTGCTGCAACCGCTGCTGCTGCTGCTGCAACCGCTGCTGCTGCTGCTGCTGCTGCAACCGCTGCTGCTGCTGCAACCGCTGCTGCTGCTGCTGCAACCGCTGCTGCTGCTGCTGCAACCGCTGCTGCTGCTGCTGCTGCTGCAACCGCTGCTGCTGCTGCAACCGCTGCTGCTGCTGCTGCAACTGCTGCTGCTGCAATTGCTGCTGCTGCAACTGCTGCTGCTGCAACTGCTGCTGCTGCTGCAACTGCTGCTGCTGCTGCAACTGCTGCTGCTGCTGCAACTGCTGCTGCTGCTGCAACTGCTGCTGCTGCTGCAACTGCTGCTGCTGCTGCAACTGCTGCTGCTGCTGCAACTGCTGCTGCTGCTGCAACTGCTGCTGCTGCTGCAACTGCTGCTGCTGCTGCTGCAACTGCTGCAACTGCTGCTGCTGCTGCTGCAACTGCTGCTGCTGCTGCTGCTGCAACTGCTGCTGCTGCTGCAACTGCTGCTGCTGCTGCTGCAACTGCTGCTGCTGCTGCTGCAACTGCTGCTGCTGCTGCAACTGCTGCTGCTGCTGCTGCAACTGCTGCTGCTGCTGCAACTGCTGCTGCTGCTGCAACTGCTGCTGCTGCAACTGCTGCTGCTGCTGCTGGTGTTGATTCATCGATTTTAGTTTTCGGTTTGTTCGCGTTCGACATCGTTAACGCGGATCCCTCCTTAAAACCTTCCGCACCAAGTTGCCTCTCGCATGCCCACGTGGCTGGGGATGTGTTGTGGATTCGAAAGCGTGGGGGGGGGGGGCGGGGGAGGGCGGTGGAGTTCGATCTTTCTGGGATTCGGGTGCGGGGGGTCGGGGGTCCTTTTGCGAAAACGCGACGTCGCGAATTCGTGACCGCGCGGTCAGACTGGACGAGGCTTCACGACGTTGAATCGTCGACGCAATAAAGAAAAACCCGCGCGCGATTTATTCGATTTGCCAAAAGACTCGTGCCTGTTTCTCGACCGCATCACCTTGACCCCCTCACCCCCCCCCCCCCCCCCCTTGACACCATCACCGTATTCTCCGAATTATAAGACGACCAGGAAAATGAAGACGCCCAGGGACCAACGCGGGGTCGTGGTGCTTCTAAGGCCACAAGACAAAGGCAAGAGAGAGATCCACCCCGTGTCACAGACTGTCCAGGGCACGTGCTCGCCATGAAGGTCGTCACGATACGCGAGGGGGGTGGGTGGCCAACACCACGCCCGGCCGCCTTTGTCTCCCCAGCGACGATGTTTGCGCACCGCGCCAAAAACTCATTTGAGGCCGAGTGGACCTAGGGGTGGCCCAGGATCGGTTCAGGTAATCGTAGGTCACAAACACACGCGCACGTTACTTTTTATTTTTGCGCCATGTCAGCTTTAATAGGTGATCGCCAACAGCACTTGCCCCAACAGTCTGTTCAGGCTGTACGGGGCATCTTTGTACTGATGTTGGTGCATACGAGATGGGTAACGTGTTGGGGTGTTATGTCTGGGTCAAATGAGTACCTGGTGTGATTTGGACACAACGCCGCTTGTGAGACAAAGACGGCCGGGCGTGGTGCTGGCCACCCACCCCCTCGTGTTCCGTGCCAGTCTTCACGAGTGCTCTCTTACAGCACTTGCCCCAACAGTCTGTTCAGGCTGTAAGGGGCATCTTTGTCTCTCGTCGTCTGTGTAGCGCACCGCGCTACGAATCTGGCGTACATGCATTCGATACCCGCTCATGACCAACATCAATGACGAATATCTGAACCGGTCGTGGGCCTCCCCTAGGTCGACTCAGCCTCAAATGAGCACCTGGTTGTGGTGTGAAAACTGGGGAGACAAAGGCGGCCGGATGTGGTGCTGGCCACCCACCCCCTCGTGTGCCGTTCCGGCCTTTATAGGCGCTCGCCAACAGCACTTGCCCCGACAGTCTGTTAAAGGTCTCTGTTGGGGATCTTTGTCTTAGTGTGTGTGTGTATACGTGAGATTCGTGATTATGCAGACGCACACATACCGGTGACACGCGTAAACCAGCCAGTGGACTGCAGAATTCGGCCGTAGATCCAGGAGCTCCGGACTAATCCAAGCGAACTTTTGAGTAACAATCGCTGCACCACGTGAGCTTACTCCAGCCGCACGCAACGCGGAGCAGAACCCGGGTGCGAACTGGTTTACCCACTTCTGGGGCGCGTGGGATGAGGAGGTTGGGAGAGGGTGACTGATGGGGGTGGGGGGGGAATTAGGGGGATGGTGGTTGTGGGTGACGATGGTGGATGTGGATGACCAGGGTGGTTGTGGGTGACTATGGTGGATGTGGGTGATGAGGGAGGTTGTGGGTGACTATGGTGGTTGTGGATGACGAGGCTGGTTGTGGGTGACGAGGCTGGTTGTGGGTGATGATGGCAGATGTGGGTGACGAGGGTGGTTGTGGGTGACGAGGGGGACCATCGATGAGGTGCGATGGCAAAGGAACCCAGTCATTAAGACAGTCTGCCATCAACTCCTGCACACAAGTGATTCAACTCATCCCGGTCACCAATTTTTAACAGAAAAGATCATTGCCTATTTGCTGCTGATGATGATAATGGTGGTGATGATGATGTTGACGGTGATGTTGGCGATGCTGACGATGGCGATGATGATAATGATCGCGATGATGATGATGGACCTTTTTGCCATAATCAAAGAATGAAACATAAGAATAGATTATACCATTTCTGGCAATTAAACAGTTGTGTTAAGATGTTCACGACAAGTGCGTGTGGTTAAGGCGAACGATTCCTTGCAAAAGGGTTCTTCTTATTACTCTTTGGTTATGCCAGTGAAGTCACGTAGAAAGAAAATAAATTAAATAATAATAATAGAATACGACGTTTCGATTGCAACCCAAGCAACCATCATCAGGTAAGAATGAATAAGAAAACAAACATAGCAAACTTAGTAATATAATGCAATACAACACAGAGAGTCGGCTAACACAACAGTCAACACCCTACCTGGTTAATTACGTTCTTCCAAAGATTGCTACATTTGAGAGAGAGACAAAACACAGACACGGAGACACACAGACACACAAGCAGAGAGAGACACAGAGACACACAGAGAGAGACATACACTTAGACAAACAGAAAGACAACGCCTCTGTGTCGAGGCCTTAAAACACATACGCTTTGGTTCTTTCGGTAAAGTCACGTAGGTATAAAATGTTATTTTATTTTATACCTAAATAAATTTTATGCCTACGTGACTTTACCGAAAGAACCAAAGAGTATGGATTCCTGCCTTAAAACACTTTTTTTATTGCCAGAAAGGGTAAAACCTATTCTTATTTTTCATTCGATGATGATGCTGATAACATTATATCGTGCAGGAAAGACACACACAGACAGAGAGAGACACGAGGTCGCATTGAACGAGAACCGACGACATTTAGTACAAAACTTTTTTTTATTTTGTCCATGGACGGCTCCGTCTGCCTCTGTGCGTCACAAACAAATATAAGCATAACCGAGGGAGATCCCGCCTGGACCTGTTTCACAGTTCAATTCACGTTCAATCTCCGCGTGCGCTTGTGTGTGTGTGGTTTTTTTTAAGAGGCGCAGATTTATTTATTTTTTTGCTGTCCGCGCATTACAAACTCCGGAGAATAATGTTCGATCGAAATCAAATTTAATTCAAAAATTAAACAAGCCACCACCCCCACCCAAAAGTAACGGGTTTCGTAGCTTCTCACTCTTGTATCTCGCCGTCGTTATTCACAATAATTTAGTTTTATTTCGCGTATCTCTCCGCGCGCGCGCGTGTGTGTGTGTTATTTGTTAAACTAACAATTAACAAATTCCGTTACCAATTCAGCCAAAAGGAGATAAGGTGATGATGGTGGTGGGTGGGGGGGAAATGTACCAATATACCATATGTACAATACATAGTGCACGGGAGCAAGTACTGTTAAAAAACAACGGAAATTTTAACGACCCTTGTGTACGGAATATACACAACCAATAAACTCACTCGAGTAATCGCACGCCCGCCGTCTATAAAGTAAGGGGGTAGACGTCGTTTTTGCAAGCGTAGGGGGTGTATTCGAGGGTAGCGGGCTTGGGGATAAGAGAACCACAGGGAATAGGGGGTAGGGTCAGGGTTAGTTGTCAAGGTGAGGGTTAAGGTCATGGTCAGGATGAGATTGAAAGGAGGTTGACTTAGTGCGAGGGTTATGGTTAGGATCCTGTTTCTGAGTCAGGGCGTAGGGTCTCTGGGTCAGGGTTAGGCTTAGAATGAGAGATGCAGAGAGAGATATTTAGTATGAGATCACGCAATTCATTGTATGAGTGGGGAGTACCGGTAAGAACAAATCGAAATATTAAATTAGATCCAAATGAATATTTGGAGGGGGTGGGGGGGGGGGAAGAGTTGAAACATGTAAAAAAATTGTTCAATTCCAGCACTTTGATATCTCAGAGGGCTTGACGGAAGCCACACAAATGTGGCCACAAGTCCCAATCATCGGACCGCGAAGCCTTCAGTCTGGCCTCTGTTCAAACCTTCACCAAAATAAATACATCTGTAAATATAATAACAACAAATAAAACGGCAATGTGCTGGAAGAGACGGGACCCATCCAGATCACGCTGATCTAATGCAGAGCGTTTGCTCTCAAATTC